TCATTCGGTCTCCTTATACAGGTGGGTACATGGTAATTGTCCTAATTTTCGGACCGCCACACCTATTTATGGGCGGTACTCTTAAGCACTTATCGGAATCCATGTAAGAATGAATAAGTTTTTCAGTGTAAAATTGTACTAACAACAAAAGTTAAGGCAAATGCTTTCAAAAAGGGAATATTGATGATTAAATTTACGATAATCAAGGTGTTAGTTGAAGTCGACGCTCGGTAGGAAACTGCCTAGATTTCGAGGATAGGATGGGTGAGACTCTTGACTATAAAATTCCCTTTCAAAACCATAAACAGAGAGAGAATTATCGTATATTGTCCTGTCTTCAAAACCATACTTCTAACTCCTCCGACACTTGACCAAAATTTGGAAGTCGATCGGTGTACCGCACTAGCACGTCCCAAAACCCGATCGGTGAAAGCACTTTCAGCATTTATATATGTATATACAGATTTGCATTACCGACAAAAACAAGGGAGACTGGAATGGCCATTTCTGGCTTATTAGACGCCGTCAGCCAGTCATATCCAACCCTGAAGTGTGGAACACCCGAGACTCAAACTCGCGACCTATTAGTTAGAGGTCCATGCCTGTAACCGCTGGGCCATGAGCCCGTTCCCCTGTCGCTTTCGATCGGCGATATGCAATGGTAGATAGCTCAATTTTTCTTTGCTGGTTAAAATCCTGGTCAAGTGTTGTGTGGACCAGGGGATGCGGAGTGGAGTACAAGGGTGCGGGCGCGGCCAAACCATCCTCCTGCGCCCTCTCCCCCCACCGGTCTTCTTGACTATGTCTCAACACCGAGCACAGGTAGTGGAACAAGAGGGAGTGCGGTAGATTCTGTGCAAGTCCACATTCACTGCAAACTAACCTACGCATATGTCACCGTGCCTGCTCTCATCTCGCTATGAAGCACACAGTGGACATCGTCGGGCACGACGGTCCAACTGTCGTGTTTCCGATCTCAGTTGGTGGTCAGGGTTACCATTGGCTGGGTGAAGACAAACATACACGAAACAGTCCTGTATCTATTTTCTCCCTGAATCTGTCGTCTCCCCTCTGCTATCATGGCTTGCCCGACTTCGGCTTGGCTGGGATCCGCAACTTTCTGGTTAGAGGTCCAGCACCCTAACTATTGAGACGCAGACTCGTCCTCGCGATTGCGACTGGGCATATTAACAATGGCCATTCCAGTCGCCCCTTGTCCTTGTCGGCAATATTATTCAGCCCTCACTGAACCCTAAAATGGGCTTCATCATGCCTGGACTGAATAAGCGTCAGGGCTAAATCGGGGTTCGGCCGTGGTCATTGGAAATGCGCACCCATAACACTGACATGTTCAGTTACCCTTACGAAAGCTCTCCCATTTTGACCCCCCTACAACAAACGAAGACCCAACAACTGACAATGGATACCAACAGCCTTAAGGCTTTAATTAATTCAAACAATTATTAGATGCTATTTATTTTTTTAACCAATACAGTATTTTTTTATATTGAAATGTGTTCAGTTGATTACTTTAATGGGTCATATTGGGGCAAATAAAGGCGACGGGGCAGTAGAAGTGAGGGGGACCCCCGGTTGGATAAGCGCTGGAACTCGGATCAAGCTCGTTTTAGCGAGTTCTGAGCGAGCTCGGATCAATGACCACATCAGAGCTCCAACAGAGCTCGCGTATCTCGCGAAACGAGTTCTTTGCGAGCTCGTTCAGAGCTCATTTTGCTACTCGGGGACCGAACTTTCGTCATTCTGCCTGTGTGAGTAGACCCCGTGCGGCTACTGGCGACACTCGACATTAAGCCCTAAAACACATCGGGACGAGTGTGTACCGTAACGCGCTCGACGAGCGTTCTCCACTACTCTATATACATGCTGCGGTAGAGGGTGTATACCGATCGCACTAAGGGACTGACTTGACCCGTTGTGTTCTGGGTATCGATCGAGAGCGCCGCAGGAAGTCGTACAGTGAGTACTCATGTATTCAGAATGACGCTACCGACAAAGACAAGGAAGATTAGAATGGCAGTTTCTCGCCCTCTGGCCGTCATCAGCCAACCGTACCCCATCCTTAAGGTTCCCAGTTCCTTAGGTTTGAATCCGCGCTCTGTTGGTTGAAAGCCCAACTCTCTAACCCCCTGAGCCGCGGGCTTGTAGACCTGCCGGTTTGCGTTTGGGTATATTAACCGACAGACCAACGAGCTCATGGCTCAGTGGCTAGAGCAGAGGACGTCTAGCCGACAGAATGCAAGTTCGCGATAGTCTTGTTTCTGCTGTTCACGAACTTTTTGAACTCGTTAACGTTCGGTGACACATAAGACTCCTTGTCCTCCAAGAGATTTCCAAGTTTTGTTGGGTACTCGGCCTTATTAATGACGCCACATGTCAGCGCGTAGGCTGATGATATCCTCCACTTCTCATATTCTCAAAAGTTCTTAATTTTTTGCTTTGGAAATCGTCATCTGGCGTTTGTGTTGTCGACACTTGTTGTCGCATCGAGCTTTCGCACTCTTCTGCCTTACATTTCTGAAGCACCCGTTCAAAAGGTGCAGTGAAGTCTTCTGATCTAGCATCTCTTGTGTTTGACTTTGCGTCATAGGATAGAATAGCTAGCTTTTGCCGAATGGGACTATGGGAGGACATCATACCATGCCAAGATTATGATGCATTATATGTGTGTGAAACGGCACAAGACTGCAGGAACACCAAGCCGCAATCGGCCACAAGGACTAACTGTCTCTGGTCTATGGTCACATCCGAACCCCAGTTTCCCTTTTGAGAAGGTATGGGTGATCGGCCGAGCCAACGAGAACATGACCAGACTGGTGCTCGAAAGTTGGTCTTTGACTGGCCCAATCAACTGAGCCATAGATCTGCATCCCACCTACCAGGCGGTGCGTACAGGGCTCGGATCGGTTCGGATGGGGCCGATAGAACAGTCGAGCACGCGGAGCCGAGAGGTTAGACAACCAACATCGAGCACTGCCTCAACGAAGCGAACGTGGGGATGGAAGCAACTCGCGCAAACGGCAACGACTGATCAGTCCGCCGACTGATGTGGGGTAGGTCGATAGGCACGCTGACTTGACTACAACTGCGTCAGCCCACAGGGGGACAAAGGTCGCGCAAGGCTGCCAGCGGCCATTCTCGGAGGGGTCAAAGCTAGTCAGCAGTACATGGGCAAGTCAAAATTCGTGCGTCGAGAATAACAATAATACTCGGCCGGCGGCAAGGCTGAAATAACTCAAGACCAGCAGGCGCATGTGACAATACAACTCTGATGATGGAGGCGAGGAAGTTTCCTAAACTTCAGTACAAACATAATTTGGGCGCTCACCGATAGTGTTACGGAACATTCTGGTCCCGATGTCATTTGGGATTCTCTCACGAGTCCAATTAGCAGCCGCAGAGCGGCGCGTACTATAGGCAGAATAACGTTCAATTGTCTTTGTCGGCAATGTTATTCTGCAGATATATATATGGTAGGGGGCGTTGACTTCTAAAGCAACAGGTCGCGAGTTCGAGGCTCGGGTGTTCCACACTTCGGGCTTGGGTATGGCTGGCTGACGACGGCCAATACGCCAGAAATGGCCATGCCAGTCTCCCTTTTCTTTGTCGGTAATATCATTCTGCCTATATATATATATATATATATATATATAGAAGAAGACGGGAAGGCGATCGCTGGGACCAATGGTTTATTTATCCGACGTTTCGAACTCTCACGCGAGCCCATCGTCAAGGAATGAAAAAACTGTACAGCTCGTCGTGTATTTAGCTCACCTCTGCCGGGGGTGACCTCTAGCTGCGCTGCTGATTTGTTCACGCAGTGCTTGATAGGCGATTGGCAGATCGATATGTCGATTAATCGCGTCCTCAGTTGAGTGCCACGCTTCCTGCAGCAGGCGCGCAACTCGGTTGTCTGACTGTCCTAGTATTCTCACGCTCCCAAAGTCAAAGGCGTGTCCTGGCGAGGAGGCGTGGGCGGCTACCAAAGAGAGTTTATCCTTCCGTCTCACGGCCAATTCATGCTCATGCAATCTCGTGCGGACCTGTTTTCCGGTTTCACCAACATAACTGGCCTGACCGCAATTGCAGTCTATGCGGTAGATGACCCCCGATTTCTGATTTATGGGAATCGGATCCTTGGGCTGCATGAGTTGACGGCGGATTGTGGCTTCAGGTCTGTGCGCGACGCCGATCCCAAATTCGCTCACCAGTCTGGCGAATTCTTCTGACAAACCAGCTACGTACGGAACTGCGCGCCAGCACTTCGGTTTCGGCTGCCCCTTCGATTTTCTTCCCTGTGCTTCTCGCCTGCACTTTTCGACGAAATTCCCAGGGTAGCCGTTCATGGTGAAGAGTTTCTTCAGGAACTGAGCCTCGGCCTTCTTGTCGGCTGGCTCTGTGCAATGGGTTTCTACCCGCCGGTAGAGTGTTCTTACGCAGCTGCGTTTGTGCGAAAGGGGGTGGTTGCTGAGAAAACTCAGAATACGAGAGGTATTTGTAGCCTTTCGGTAAACTGTTGTTTTTAGTCCCCCATCGCCTTTTCTCTGGACTAGTACGTCGAGGAACGGCAACTGGCAATCTTTTTCCTCCTCCATCGTGAACTGGATATCTGGGAAGATCGAGTTCAGATGTTGCGTGAATTCCCCTATCCTGTCCCGATTGATGATGACAAATGTATATGATGGTAGGGAGCGCTCACCGATCGTTCATACGGAACTCACTCGTTCCGTTGTGCCTTAAGGGCTCTCTCTCGAGCCCAAACAGCAGCCGCGCAGCGGCGCATGATATATAGGCAGAATGATATTACCGACAAAGACAAGGGAGACTGGAATGGCCATTTCTGGCTTATTAGCCGTCGTCAGCCAGCCATACCCAAGACAGAAGTGTGGGTATGTCTCACATCAGGCTCCGATACAACGGTCCGCTCAGCCGTACATTTCTTGGAAAGACTCCAGGGTCTACACCTTAATGCAGACGAAGTCATGGTATTATTTGATGTTACCTCACTCTTCCCCTCAATTCCTCAGAGTCTAGCAATTGAAACTGTCGGCGATCTACTCGAGAGTCAATATGACGACGAGACCAATAAGCTTAAACGAGGACACCTTATCCAGCTGCTCCATTTTTGCCTCAAGACCTATTTCACCTTTGAAGGAACGGTCTATGAACAAATCAAAGGAACTCCAATGGGTTCGCCGCTGTCTGGTTTCATTGCTGAGGTGGTCCTTCAAAAGTTGGAGACGCTGGTGTTCGCAACCCACAGACCAATATTTTGGGCACGGTATGTGGACGATACCCTCGTCATCCTCAAGCGGGAGATAGTCTCCGAATTTCACGCGATTCTGAACTCTGTTTTTCCGGACATACAGTTCACAATGGAGGCAGAAGTCAACAACCAGCTAGCGTTCCTAGACGTCCTGGTCCACCGCAAAACTAACGGAAGCCTAAGAACGACGGTATACCGAAAGGCCACCAACACGCGTCAGGTCCTCAGTTACTACAGTAACCACCCGTTGTGCCATAAACGTAGCTGTGTGCGGACTCTTTACAAGAGGGAGGAAACTCACTGCAGCGAGGCAGCCGACAAAGTAGCCGAACTCCATTATCTTCGGCAGATGTTCATCTCCAACGGTTACCCTCGTAGTTTCATCGAACGCAGCCGACAACCAAAGAGGGCTATAAGGTCAACAAGAGAACAACCAACAGTGTGGCGGGCGCTACCGTATATTGAGAATGTATCCGAAGCAGTCGCTCGTCTCTTACAACCACTGGGGATCGGCGTCGCCCACAGACCTGAAGCGACAATAAGACGTCTCGTCATGAGACCCAAGGCCCCTCTGTCACGAGGCGAAACAGCGAATGTCGTCTACCGTGTCCAGTGCAGTTCCTGTGAGGCGAATTACGTTGGAGAGACCGGAAAACGTCTACAAACCCGCATGAGTGAGCACGCAAGGGCAGTGAGAAGAATGGACCAACTCTCACTGGTGGCGGAACATTGTGCAGCCTCTGGGCACACTTTCGCCTTCCAGAACGCCGAAATCCTTGGCCGAGGTACCGACCAGACAGCTAGGGAAACGCTCGAAGCCTGGCACACCGTACCAACCTCCATCAACCGCTGTACGATTCTCCCGGCGGCCTACCAGGCCCTACGAGTGCGGTTCAACCAACGGAATCAAAGGCAGGAAGTCAGCATCACAAGCCCAGGTGAACACAGTTCGCACCCAAACACCGATGACGGGAGCCAGCAGGCCGATAAAGGAGAAACAGGCAAGGGGCCAGCAGCCACCGAGGTGCACACGGGCAGAGGCAAACGGGCGACAATTACGAGAAATGCGGGTCAGGCACAACAAATGCGGGCAATGCAGACGAGGTCAATGACCGTTGCCATCCTGACACAGCCCACCCGACGAGGAGACGCAGGAAGGGACCGACCAACACGACAGCAATTAGCTCCTCCCCCCGCAGCAGATCCTGCATGAATAGCATTAGGAACGACAACACACCCGCATGCTCAGCACCCATAAATACTGTGAGGCGCCGTACAGAACCCACATCCGACGATGGAAGCTTGTTTGCTTTTGAAACGTCAGGCTATTAAACCTATGGTTCCCGAGATCGCCTCTTCTTCTCATTTATCCCCGGGGACGCGCATTTTCGCTTTAATTGGCAATATATATATATATATATCAAGCGAATAATTTCAGAAATTAATCAGTGCAGGACATGGAGTTAAATCTCCGGGACATGACTTTTTAGGGTCAGAACCGAAATTTCAATGAACATTTGAGTCGAAGACAATCAACTACTGTGGAATAACCACGTAATGCCCATTCTAAAAACAAGTAGTACTACGAGTAGTATGAAATCCATATAGTAAAGGTATTATACCGTACTCCCGACGTAGATACTTGCTGAAAGCCCAGACACGTGTTTCGCCGATATTCTGCCGCTGCGTGACACAGCTGCGAGGGGTTCGGCTCTTCAGTGGGACCCCCAGCGTTCTCTAGCGGTTTCTGGTATATGAAATTATTCTGAAATTATTCGCTTGATTATTCTCTGGAGTTCATATACCAGAAACCGCTAGAGAACGCTGGGGGTCCCACTGAAGAGCCGAACCCCTCGCAGCTGTGTCACGCAGCGGCAGAATATCGGCGAAACACGTGTCTGGGCTTTTAGCAAGTATCTACGTCGGGAGTACGGTATAATACCTTTAATATATATATATATAATATGACAGACGGGCGCTCACCGATCAGTTTGCAGAACATGCTCGTTCTGTTGTGCCTTGGGGCTCATAGTTAAACCCTCGCAGGCAGTCGCACAGCGACTACTGATATATCTTGATAAGGTGATACCGACAAAGACAAGGGAGACCGGAATGGCCATTTCTGGCTTATTAGCCGTCATCAGCCAGTCATACCCAACCCCAAGTGTGGATCACTTGAGATTCGAACCGGGGATCTTTAGTCGTGGAGTTTGACGCTCTACCATTGATCCAGGGCCCCGTTGTCCTGTCGGTTGTGATCATAATTAATATTCCCGTTCACAACCGACTGGACAACGTGCCCGTGGCTCAATGGTAGAGCGTCAAGCTCCAAGACCAAAGATCCCGGGTTCGAACCTCAAGTGATCCACACTTGGGGTTGGGTATGACTGGCTGATGACGGCTAATAAGCCAGAAATGGCCATTCCGTTCTCCCTTGTCTTTGTCGGTACCACCTGCTCAACATCATTCTACTAGTCGCTGTGCGACTGCCTGCGAGGGTTCTAGTATGAGCATCAAGGCACAACAGAACGAGCATGTTCCGTAACCTGATCGGTGACCGTCCACTGTCATAATTTATATATATATATATATATTCAATCAGGAATGGGCGCGCACCGATGTATTTGTTTCACGAGGCAAACAAGCTCCGTATGGGTGGCAGAGGTCACGAACAGGCAACCAATTACCAGGCCGAAGTCGGGCAAGTCATAATGGCAGCAAGGAGGGACGACAGACAATGCGGGTAGATTGATACTGTCCTATTTCGGGCTTATTGTTTCTTCATTCAGCCAATCAGCTGGGACCAGAAACACAAACATGCGCACAGACGCACCTGGCGCAGTTGATCCACGCCTGGGTCTACCAGATGGGTCATAAGCACTTCATCAGATCGAAGTTCATCAGTGCCTCGCCACCTGTCATTCACTGTCGCTGCAGATCGGGTATTTATTTAATCAGCTATGGACGCACGCCGATCTATTGGCTTCACGAAGCAAACAAACTCTGTATGGGTGGCAAAGGTCACGAACAGGCAACCAATTATCAGGCCGAAGTCGGCCAAGTCATAATAGCAGCCAGGAGGGACGACAGAGAATGCGGTTAGATTGATACAGTACTGTTTCGGGCTTATTGTGCCTTCATTCAGCCAAGCATATACAATGGGATCACCCATATCTGGATTTCTTGCCGAGGTGACAATGTAGAAATTGGAATCGGTAGCTCTTCCACTAGTTAACCCTAAGTTATGGGTACGATATGTAGACGACACGTTTGTCGTCGTAAAAACGGATCAACTAGAAATGCTCCACAACACAATCAATTAAACCATTCCGGGAATTAAATTCACGTTGGAAAAAGAACTTGACAATAAACTCCCATTTCTGGATGTTCTCGTACAGCGTAAGAATGACGGAACATTAAACACGTCCGTTTACCGCAAAGAAACATATGCGGAAATAATTCTACACTATAAGAGCAACAGTCCGATCTTTCACAAGAGGAGTACTGTCAAAAGTCTGATACATCGAGCAAGAACACATTGCTCTGATGAAGGAAGTTACAAAGTTGAACTAAACTACCTATTTTAATTATTTTCCCAGAACGGTTACCCTAGAGATTTCGTACGTCGATGCATTAGACAACCAGAGGTAAAACCGAAGGAACTAGATAGTTCCAATCACGCGCCCAAAACAAACACTTGGCGAATCCTTCCTTACATCAGGAATGTGTCTGAACTTGTTGGAAGACACTTGAGGAAACACCAGATAAAAGTGGCGCACAAGCCGACTTTACGCACCCAGCTTGTACACCCTAAGGATAGGGTTGGCTATCTCGATAGAAAAGAAGTCGTCTATAAGATCCCATGCGATGCCTGTGATGCCGTATATTGTGGCCAAACGGGAAAATTTGCCTCTACTCGCATCCACGAACATCAACTTGCAGTCAAGAGGCGAGACCACTTGTCTCAAATGGCCATGCACACCCTTTATACTGGGCACACTTTCGCATGGGACAAAACTCGCATCGTCGGAGTTTGCCCACCTAAAAAAGACCGAGAGTTTCTTGAAGCCATGCACTCCGATGAGTCATGCATCAACAGGCATATCGAGTTAGATGCCACGTACAAAAATCTCAGAAAAAAGTGGAAGAGACGAAAACCGATCAATACGGACTGACGCATACGAGGGCGGCTCACTGGCTGAGGCACCGAATGAGTATTGATTTTGTAGCCCGTTTGAAATTTTAATTGTTTTCTGCACATTTACTCTAGTCTGACGACGACACGGGGAACCGACGTCGAAAATTTACTCAATAAAGTTTTCTCTCTTTCCTAACGAACGTATTTGATTTCAAATGCCTGCGTTCCAATAAACATATATATACATAAGGCACAACGGAACGAGTGAGTTCCGTAGGAACGATCGGTGAGCGCCCCTACCATTATATATATATATATATATATATATATATATATGACATAGCGCTCACTGGTCAAATTACGGGACACGCTCATCCCGTATATATATATATATATATAGACGAAAATTCTGACCCCATGTGGAGAGAGGGAAGAAGACAAGACGATTCCTAGGGATTGTCCTACCCTTTCCTCCTAAATGCACATGAGGCTAAAAATTTCGCAGATAACTCAAAAGATATTACTGTGACAAGTTTTTTTTTATTAATGTGATGCTTCTGACAGCTAGGTCGTTGCTACTTATGTGTCGTACAATACTTGCTATTCCACTGGCCCTTACATTTTTCAAAAGTCTCTCTGGCTACTGAATCTTTATAATACGCACAGATTAACATTCGTGACACACTTGTTTAACTTTGGTAAAATTCCGTTCCACTGAGCCACAGAAAAAAGCGCTATTCAGAAAAATCGGAAAAGGTCGTTACCTAATGCTTAGAATAAGAGGATGGAAGTGGATGTCTAGAAATAATTCTTTATTTTATCAAATTTTTGGGTTCGCGCACGCGCCCATCTCAAAGGGTAGAGGTGCACCCTAGTATCTAACTCATCACCGACGCAAATGACATTCAACTGCACTACTGATTTGCGTTCGCACCCCCCGATGAACAAACAGTAGGCCAGTGTGCTTATTGGCTGATTCATCAGTAGAATGTCACGTCTCCTGCGACAGGCGCGGACTCTGGTCAGCTGGTAGTTTTAAGATTTTTAGGAAGTCTTGTCATGACAACAGGCAAAAAAGGCAGGAACTTGCTCCCCGAGAGGATGCGGACAGGAAGTTGGAAGCTTAGAGAGAACGCAGATTAGATTTTCTAAATATAGGCGTTGCAGAAGTTCCACAAAGAAGCGAACACGACGCGTTCAGACGCGAATTTTCACTATGAAAACGGGAGGACGTGTTTACTGCTTAAGTAATGACCCCTACATAGGAAACCTTTAAATTTTCTAAAGAAAAAGTAACACTTCCTTGTGTAATATGTGCATTAAAGTTAAGCTTCAAACTTTCTCGCATCCCAGTGTTTTTTATATAATACCGTTAATTGAAAAGCATAGTGAAATGGCTCAGTTAATGAGCATCTGTGTAGGTTGTCCATTTCAAGTAAGGAGTGCGGCCTGATATTTGAATTTCGGAAACCGAGGACAGCATTCTTAAGTTGTCAACGAAATGTCAGTGGATCAAATTAGGAACACGAAACACAGTTTTGGGAGGGAATAAAGATTCGGAACTTCCGTAACGAAGTATTCGAGGTTTCTTTATGAGGAAGGCATCGTTTATCCGACCTTATGTACAGCCGTTCGTTCGACCAGTGGGTGAGCAGGACAACATCCCCTGAAGGTCACAGTTGGTACGTTCGATATGCTCCCGGAGATGGCAAGACATTGGTAGAGGGGTGAGCAGCGATCGCGTTACGGAACTGACTCGTCCCGTTGTGCCTTGGGACTCTCTCTCCCTCTCTCGGGCCCCGCCAGCAGCGACACAGCGGTGCATGATACGGGCAGAATGGCATTACCGACAAAGACAAGGGAGACTGGGATGGCCCCTCTACCGTTGTTAATATAGTCGATCGCAACCGACAGGACAACGAGCCCGTGGCTCAATGGTTAGGGCGTTAAACCTCTCACCAACAGGTCACAAGTTCGAGCCTCGGGGTTGAGTATGGCTGGCTGATGATGGCTAGTAGGACAGAAACGGCCGTTCCAGTCTCCCTCGTCTTTGTCAATAATGCCATCACGGCAAGACATGCAGCGTACTTGAGTGTTAAGCACCCATCCTCCCCGCGGGGAGTCACAACACGCGCGGGTTGTCTAGGGTGCAGCTTGGAGAATATGACTAAAATTCCAGCGGCTTCCAATCGCTGACCAAGCGCCTTAGGCAAATCTCTGGAGAGAACAATTCTATCATGACCGAAATCCTTCTGTTTTAGCAAATCAGACCGTTGTTCAGAGTCGGCATGTTGTTTTATGCTAGCCTTCTTCCGATAGTAGCCTGAGCTTACGAGCTCTGCAATGAAACACCTCAGGCCCAATTGCTGCAAATGCGTCGGTATGAGTACCAAAGTTATGCAGTTGGCGGAAGGCAGTTTGGCAGGGCTTTTGAAACAGATGTTCTTCCGCGCACTTTGAAGAAGGTGAGCGTCTTTTTTGCTCAAGAACGGTTCCTTAGCCTTTCACTTAATTGAAATCAACAAAATAAGGTAGTTTGCATTCGAATAGACTCCGTTAATAGTAGTCAAGTTCGCTAATGCTTATGCCGTGGAAAAACGGATCAATTATGCAAGGAGATGAATATGAGTATTCCGTTCTAATTGGCAGTTAATTCTAGTGCTCAGCTTTTCTGAACACATGAATGTCTAACAGGAGTACTGTACATCGCAATTTTCGACAGGTCTACCACGCAGGCTTCCGAATGCTGACCATATATTAGATCTATGCAAGTACTAAGATTATGTACAAATATAAATGGTTAAACTTAATGCTTGTATTCTTTTGGACATTTCGTTACGTCTTCGATGGAGAATACAAGGCATTGAAGATCCACTTCTCATTATATCCACAGGCGAGCAAACGACGCTTGCTTACTGAGTGCATGTCTCTCCTTTTTGAGACACTAATGTTCCACAATAAGTTCTATTACCCTGGAAATCTACATTCAAAAACGATTTACATGTACTCACAGAGAGGCTTTCAGTTCAAAAACAACCACCCATGACCACGGTTCTCATCTATTCGAAGCATGAAAACAGTCTCCAATCGCAGAAGGCTGCTTGGTGTCAGCCTGTGTTCTGTCAAACGACTTCAAGAGCTGTTTGGCTGTCCAGCCGAAACCATCTCTAACAAAGGGGTTTCAGTTCAGAATAACGGTATCCCCATGTACAAGATTGCACGTGATCTGTCGTGACCTAAGTTACTCAGACTTCCATAACGCGGGGAGGAACTTTATGGGGCAAATTAACTGTCATACATAGGTAGGTTAGAAAATTATAAAAGTATGATTAATAAAAGGAGGACTACCGTGAAGCGGAATAAATTAGTATAGTAATATCGTTTACAAGAAAAAAAATACGGTCGGTTTGATTATGTCCGCTAGGCCGTCAGCTGTACAGGGTCCTGTTAATCTCAAAAGCGCCCTTATCGTTACCGGTCGCCGACACGTGAGGGCGGTAGCGTAATCGTGTAAAATGTAGGCGTGAAGGATAGCCGCACCTCCTGGTAGAGTCATTCATCCGCTCAGATTCATGTAAGCGCAACGACGAGGACGAGAGTTTACGGTATGTAGACGCGGCAGGTACGGCGGTGTCCCGTGAGGGGAGGCACTGGTCCAAGACTGGGGATTGGCAGCGGCGGCGGTGGAGGAATTCTGATTTCGCCAGGCGGTCTCATCTAATCGATAGAGGGCCGAGTAGTGACCCAAGACCGGACTCTTCTCCACCTGCAGTTGGTTTAAGCGAAGACTGATCTTCTGTAGGGCAGCGGATAGATCAGTGTCGTTAGATGAGGAGGAGTCGGAACTGCAGTCAGACTCGTTCACGGGGGTGTTTGACGTAGTCGAGCTGCTGCCGCGCTGTCGCGGGTCTCGCATCACACAACCGTCCAGCTCGTGGGCCGCTGGCCTCTGGACGACCCGCAAAGGAGGGGAGTCCTCAGTGAGACAGTGGTATTCCGCCGGCCGAGATGAGGTTCTCTTCGGGGGCAGTGGCGGTGGCAGGCTGGTGTAATTCAAGCCCGCCACCAGCTTGGGGTCCTCTATCTTCAGGTATGCCAAGCGGGCCATAGGTTTGGGTGGTTCAAGTGGCCCTGACGGCGGGGAGGGTTGTTGTGCTTGGCGGTTCACCTCGCGATCGCACCCGCGAGGGTCCTTCTGCACCAAGGTCGACACCTCACTGGGTCGGAGACTGCACCCGCTGGGTTTCCGCCTCAACCACTGAACCGTCTGCCAACCCTCAGAAGGCAGAGTTTCCGATTTCTTCAGACGAGCGGTGAGGTTTTGCGGCGTTGTGGAATTGCGGTAGGGCAACAGGGGCTCCGGTGGACAGGCGTCCTCGTCTGTGTCACAGTTGCCGCCGGCGTTTCCACTGGAGCAACGTCGACTGGGGACTGGCGGACCGAGTGATCTGAAGTCGCGCATTGTGAAGGCCATAGCAGCACTTGAGAATTTGTCCGGCGAATATAATCCTGTATTAGTAGCTGTGGCCGCGGAAACAGCCTCCAACAAAGACCGGCCCGTCTGGAGACCTGGGCAGCGAGCGGGTACGCGTGCAACTAACGCTCACTTCGCTGGCTGTCGGCCACTGCCGCCCCCTGTCGCCTGCCTGTTCTCATTGGTTGGCCGGCGGTTCGTATCTCATTGGCCAGAGCGGCTGTAGGCAGACAACAGCTGACATACTAGTTGCATGCCTGCCTGCAAAGTAGACCTCGTGCGCGGCGTACTCTCGCTTAGCTGTCAGCCGGGCGATTTCCGCGCTGACAAAACTTGTCTCGTAGGCTGCTGTCATTCCCCTTATATGAAATTAATAGCATATCATGTCGGGCCGTTCGTTTTTAAAGGAGTTGGCACAAAACGAATATGGAACCTAGCGACGAGGGTCGGGGGGATTAAATCTGAGCGCTTGAAATGCAAAGGGAACTTTAGGGAGTTCTTGACGCGAGTTTAGACAGAGCACCTGCTCCTCGGCCATTTCGAAGCTAGATTTTTTTCTGAATAAACAACCTCACACAGAGGAAGTTGTGGCGGTTTAAATTACTAAGTCGGTCATAAAATGAGTTGTTGCAGGACCCTACCCTTATTCATCAAGGTCAACAGTTTGCTCTTTGTATAATTGTTGCTTTCTCCCGAGCTTCCTCCGCACTCTACGTCAGGATGAATGGTCAGATTTTACCTGTGGGTTTAATAATTACAGCAGGAAAAGATCCTCGGGGGTTTCAGGGATAAAAGCAAAGAAAATCAAATTTAAAATTGTTTACCTGACATAGATGTAAGTTCCTTAGGAAAAGTCCAGATTCACTTACTCGTATAAAGAATAGAATTCGGGTTAAAATATGTGGGTCTAACGTACACGTGCGAGGCACTTGTTTAAAGCTGGCAATCCCATAACTGAGGTGGGGAGGGGAAAGTAGCTCTTATCCAATAAATGAAACCCGTTACTGGACACATCTGGTATTTGTCCTGGAATGCATAAAATGTCACGCAAAAAATCAAGTGCACACAGATGAATGAATGTAGTTAAATTTTCAGCTGACCTGTACGTTGTCGCATGTGAGACTTGCAACACATTTGACCGTGATAGCTCGGTGCAGACGCCAGAACACTCAAATTGCGGGACATGAAACAGGGCCTTATTTTAGGCAAGAAATTAAACATCTGCCAACTGCCTGTATAAAAAAATTAACATAAAATATAGACATAACTCTATTCCACATTCTGTACCAGTCAAAATCGCGTCCGAATACTAGTAAAAGACTTCGCGTGGAAATTTTCGTAGCATATCATGACGGAAACTACCCTCGAGGATGGCAACAAGTCATCTATCTGTGCACGTCTACACAGGCTACGTCGCGTTTGAAGACAAATGGTTCTTGATAAAATTATTTCTTGCGAGGTTTGATACGTCCTTTAGGCTTTGTATATTAAATTCTCTGATGGAGTTCCAAAGTGCTACGCAGTCCTGGGACCGCTACTTATATTTGTAGGCGATATATAAAGCGGGTCTTCTTCGCCAAGGTAATCGTGCCGGCGTTGAGACATCAGCACCAACGCCCCTCTGCCATTATGACAGTTCAACCGCCGTTGCTGATGATGCCCACCGTGCGCTCCACAGCGGGGACGTTTACTTGCCCGTGAGTTGGTTCAAAGTGATAGTGGACTTTCGCTGTATCCAACACACTCTCTTCTCACTACCTGGGCTCGGTGTCAAGACATAGTCAAGAAGACCGGAGGTTGAAGAGGGCGCAGGTGGCTGGCACGGCCAGACTCGCACCTAGGCGTATTACTACGTTCCTGGTCCACAATAAACACTTGACCAGGGTTTTAGACAACAACAAAAAGGGGGGTGGCTGCTCGGATCCCAGTTGGCGCAGCGTGAACCTGCGACTGGGCGTGTCGTCACACCCCAAATGTTGGCATTTATTAGGGGTGAACATTCCCAGTAACGCCTGCCAGACTCTGATATGGCCCCTGTGTTGTTCCAGCGCATCTCCGCGTGGCCCTTTTTAGGGGCACAGACAGTGTCTCATTCCCTTCAGCGCCTTTCTGCCTTCTGGAATTGTAACCGGGTCCGGACAACAGTTCATCATGCGACTGCAAACTGAACGACCAAGTGATTTCACCTCCAAAGTGAGACCTCCCCACTCTTTGTGGCTTTTCGAGGTCTCGAATGACCACCTGTCAAGGCTCCTGCTGGGCATCCGCGGAGTTCTTACATCGGATCACAACTGTTCAGCCTTTGGACTTTTGTTTGTCTGTATTATTCGAACCCCTGGCCAGCTGATTTTCCCAGACACTCGTGGTGCCAACGGAGACCCCGCTAACCTCCTGCACAGCATCTTATTTGGATGCTGTCTTCGGTTCTGCCGGCAGCCGACTCGGTCACACGCGCACACATCTCTCTCCAGTGAGGTGGAGTGCGCCGGCCACTGGCACTAGCCTACGGCAGTCCCTTCTGGGTTGACCCTTGAGGGGAAAGGGTGTTCTGGATCCGGCTCGGTACTCGCGACGCGTATGTGGAGAGTCTTAGGGCTGGACACCGATCCGGACTTCTCCCACGGTCTCCTTCTCTCTCCGTTATTCTATGTCTTTCTCCTCGTGTCTCTTCCCGCCGCATAATTCTTTCTGTCTCTGCCGCCTTCATTCGATCAGGCTTCTCTTCCCCCCGACATCATGTGCAGTAAACGCCAAGTGCGCTTGTCAGACAACTATGCCATTATTTTCACCTGGTGCTCGATGCCTGCGATGTCGTTTCAAGTCGTCCTGCGGTGTTTAGAGGGATGCTCTACGTCAGGGTGCCTGACTTCAAGTCAGAGCCTTCTACCTACCCACGTACTTAAATCGACCCTCCGGAAGTCTGGGTCCAGAAACACGGGTTTTAAACCAGGGACAGGTAGTTTGACTTCCTCTTAACAGTAGGCGCGTTTTCATACTGTTCTTCGTTGCGCTAAGGACCGTGTCCCTGGGCAGACATGAGAAGTCCACTTACGCATAAGTAGTTTCCTTTCTGTTTTCTGCAAGGTGACCCAGTTGTCAACGCCGCAAGTTATCTAGTTTGTTCTGGATATATTTTATATTTCCAACAAGTTGGTCTAGTTATTCTGCACCAGAAGTCTGTATAAGCCGTCTTTTTGACTTATTTTTTGACCTCGAAGCCCGTAAGAGCCTGGCTCTTTCCAAGATCCTTGCTCTGGAGTTGGCCGCTCACGTAATTCCCGTGATCTGGCCCTGCCTTCTCCAAGCAAAAGCCATTTTTCCTCTTGACCCAGATGGCAACAGACAGTCTTTCTCACGCACAACTCTTAACATATATAGCAGGAATACTGGGTTTGAAAGACTTCGTTGCCGAGCCGAAGTTTCGAAGACACTACCGCCTACTCACTGGTGCCTGTTTTCGGAATGTATTTTCAAGAGAGTGGTGGCAGTAGTAGTAGTAGTAGTAGTAGCCCATCAAACTACCTTGGGCCACTGGGACATTGTCTACCAGCAACAGCAGAAGCGGTCACAGTCAGGTTACGCAAGCCGGTCTTGCCACGGCCAAAAGTGAGTTAACCTATCAAATGCATGCAATTTTCCTCGACCTCCTACCCCTCCCCCCCTCTCCTGACACCGCACTTGTCAGTGCTCTCCTCGCCCACATTAACCATCATCACCTAATAATGACTGCCCCTGACTATCGACTCATTTTCTCCACCTACTACTTATGTGAAAAGATGAGGATTACTTGATCCGCCTTACTACGCACGTGTTTGAAATGAACCGTGTGCCATTAAAATGTTTTGGTCTGATAAGAGGTTATCGAGAACAAAGGTCTTCTAATAAAGTAGTCTTTTTACTCCCTCTGTAAGAATTTTGGTAACTTCAAAAATAAGGTTCCCCGAAATCAAATTCTACTCAAAATTATTTTCACCTAGTGCAGTACTTTGCTCTGCCTCAAAGTCTACGTCGGCTTCACTACAGCAAACCCTCGAGGGTGAGATGCATGTTCTGCCATCCCTGTCCAATCGACATCCGCGGTCTCCCGAGTTAATCGTTGCCTTGTGCCAGTCAAAATCCCACACTCGGAATGTCGATGAAGCCTCTATTGACTCCAGCATCCAAATTACAACGGGTACGGGGGAAGATATCCAGGTCTCTATCCCAGACGTTCTGCTGCTTCGCTGAATGAATGTGGTTAGTCCAGACAAAAGTGTTGACTTTCTTGAAAAGAAAGCAGTCCTCCTTTCCTTCCCTCTTTGCCTCTGCCAAATGTTTTTCCCGGCAGCTCAACCAGCACGGTGTCTTATGCAAGTGTCTGTTGTGGTCTGGCAGAGACCATTTCGGCCGTTGGTGTTCATCAGACCTATTTGGTGTAACAGGTATCCTTGTATATTAAGTTCATCCTCATCTACCCTCGAAGATGGGATTACTTAACTCACTGGTACATCAGTTGGTATGCGTGGCATGTGTAGGACGGAGACCTTGTCGCAGCCGCACAGTCCCACGTTACACTGGCCACTGCATCAAATCTCACACGCTCTCGACATTGACTCCGATTTTTAGATACCACGAGGGGGGCTAAGGCACATTGACGTCATTTCATCTCGGATCCAGAGATGGACTTTCTCTCCAGTAACAAGCAGACGTTCCTTCATCTGCCACAAGATGCTGCTAAGCTTGTCTTGGAAGTCTGTCAGGTGATTGAAAAACTCGCTTCTGACCGGGATTGAAGCTCAAGCTGCAATGGCTCCTCCATAGGGTGCCTTTATGACCCTCACATCTCTGTGATCCCAACCTCCTTGCTTAGGGGTCACTGCCTGTGTGGTACGCATAGGCGTCACCCAATCCCTGTAAACTATTCGCCTATTTGTCTGATACCCCGCCTCACGCTAAGTCGTTTTCAGACGAGTGGAGATTTTAGATATTAGCAACTGATGACTTTAATATTGTCAGTCACG